TCAAGTTTTATACCGTCCCTATCCAATGCCCTACAACTATGGTGTCCACCAAACACAACAATCCTGCCGCAACCACAGATCCTTTCCTAAAGACATAAGAATAGTGTCGGCAAACATCAGAGGTTTCCATACTAATGTGGGGGAATTAACACATGCGTTTGTCTTAAAAAACAAAGCAGACATAATCTTCGTATGTGAAACCTTTCTAGATGACAAAGTATCTGGTAACTATGCCAAGATTCCTGGCTATTCACCTTGGATAAGGAAGGATCGAAATACATCAGGAGGTGGGATAGCTCTATGCCACAGAAACACAGTACCAATCCAGGTTATTGACTACCCAGTTCAAGAAAACTTGGAACTTATACTGTGGAAAATAATAGATGGAAAAGGCAAGAGTACATTGTGCTGTGGGTGTTACAGACCCCCTTCCCAGGGAACAATAATTACTGAATTTCTAATAAACCACCTTGATAATATGCTATCATACAGTCAATGTGAAAACCTAATAATAGTTGGTGATCTCAATCAGCATACCATTCAAGCTAACTTTGATAGTATGTTGGCACTGTATGATCTAACAAACCATGTCAACTTTGCAACACACAGCTCAGGTTCATCACTTGATCCGGTTGTGACTAACTTTCCTGAAGATACAGTCAGGTGCTCTCCGCTGGGTTTCGTGGGCACATCCGACCACATTGCTGTCCTCACAACAATTACATTCACACATCTCCATGAGGAAAACTACAGCCGCACTCTCTGGAAGTGGGAATATGCCGACTGGAGACAAATCAGAAAAGTGGTGACACACATATCATGGAAAGACATTCTTAAAGGCGATGTCAATCAGCAAGTAGAGCAGTTTACGTCGACCCTACATGATATCCAGGAACAGTGGGTCCCCCATGCTGTTCACATTTCAAGACCATCAGACCAACCATGGTTTGGACCGAGATGCCGAATGGCATCTGATGAGAAGTACAAGGCTTGGATAAACTTCAAACGCAACCCTACTGATTACAACAAGGCACTCCATAGACAGGCTGCAGCTCATATGGTAGCCACCCAAAAGTGGGCTATACGGCAGTGGGAAAAAGACACCAAAAATAAGCTAAAAACTGGTCAAGTTGGAAGCAAACAATGGTGGACTCTAGTCAAAGAAAAGCAAGGCGAAACTAGAGAAGGGACTATCCCACCTATAACCACACAGGATGGCACTATGGCACTCACTTCTCAGCAAAAGGCAGAGGTACTGGCACAACACTTTGCCCAGAAAATGACCGTGGTCGAACCCGACAAACCAGCCCCAATGCAGCCAGTAATGACTCAGGAGAAACTGACCAAAATGAAGACAACAAAGGCGGAAGTAGAAAGAATCCTGAAGGACCTCAATGAGTCAAAAGCAGTAGGTCCAGATGAAATAAGCCCACGCCTACTTAAGAGATGCTCTAAAGAGCTTTCAAACCCAGTTGCTCTACTGTTCAATAATTGTATACAGCAAGGAAAATGGCCATCGAAATGGAAACTAAGTCATGTTGTTCCAATCCACAAGAAAGGAAATAAATCAGAAGTCAAGAATTATCGACCTGTTGCACTGCTCTCTGCTGTCAACAAGATTCTTGAAAAGATAATTGGTGAACGACTAACAGAGCATCTTAATAAGCATAACCTGATGTGTTCCCGACAGTTTGGATTCAAGAAAAAACACTCAGCTGCTGATCTCCATCTGTTATCATCTTCTGCCTGGAGTAGCGCCCTTGACCGTGGCCAGAGCACTGCTGTGGTAGCTCTTGATATCGAGGGAGCCTTCGATCGAGTGTGGCATGGCGCCCTGGTTGAAAAACTACGTGGAGTTGGCGTGGATGGTGCACTTCTCAGTCTGCTTACTGATTATTTAACCAACAGACACCTAAGTGTTGTACTGAATGGAAATAAATCATCACAGTACGCAATAAGGGCAGGCGTGCCGCAGGGAAGTGTCCTAGGGCCTCTCTTGTGGAACATATTCATAAATGATTTGTTACATCTAGTTCCTGTTGCACAAGCATTTGCGGACGATATAACACTGTCAGTTACATACAATACCCAGGATGAGGCAGTGACAGCAACACGCTTAAACAATATACTTCAAAAAGTCCTAACCTGGGTAATAGATGGCAGGTGAAATTTGCTCCCAATAAGACTCACCTTATGGTTATTACCAGAACTCTCCCAACCATCAAACTCTACTTCGATGGTAAAGCACTGCAACCCCAAGATGAAATAGAAATACTTGGTGTTTCCTACGATAAAAAACTCACTTTCAAGACACACATTGAGAACATCGTTAGGAAAGCATCAAGAAAAATTGCATCCTTGAGACGGATCTCATGGCTTCTGGATGCAAAAGGAAGAGAAGTCCTCTACAAAGCCCAGATCCGCTCTGTAATGGAATATGCTCCTCTGACGTGGGGAGGGGCTGCCAAGAAGCATCTCGATCTCCTCGATAGAGTCCAAG